TGTTTGGAAAAATGACAAACAGGTGTTCAGGAATTCACAAGGACATAGGTACATCCCAGGTGTTATAAACCCAGAAGATGTCATGGGTATTGTTTTAGAAAAAGCAGAAGGGTTGCAGAGACAAGTAGGAGCCTCTAAGGATAATGGCACATGTGGGGGCAGGATAAAAGAAAGCAGAAGGTTCCTGGGTCCTCTCTAGAGTGGCTAATACAGCCTTATTCCTCCTTCAGGATAACCTAGAACTGCTCTGAGAACCAGAATGGATGCACCACTGAGGAGCCCTCCTGACCTTGAACTCTAGACCAAGACTGATGAAGTTTGTTCCTATGACTCTATGAGAAAGCCAGGTATAATTCAATAATTTTTGACCCAAAATGCTTTTTTGGTGTATTAAAATTCAAACCCAGAGTTTCATTCATGGGAAACACGTTTTTTATATCGAAGTTACGTGCCTGGTCCTAGAGTGAATTTTGGCTTGTGCTTTTCCAATGTGCGAATTTCTCTACAAATTGTTCTGTAGGAGAGACTTGAAATGCAACTAGTACAACTCGGTAGTAGTTTTACTTCTGAGGTCATTATATTATTAAACTATGCAGTTGTGTCTTAAATGTAGCCTTGCCTCATATCATACATTGTACAAATCTGTTGTAGATTATTCACCAGTAACAAAGCGTTTGTAGGAAGTAATAAATAGTACCAGGATTATCAGGCTGCCAATTGTTAATCACAGAGTAGTTTTCCTGCTCATGTCACCAGTCTGGGGTGTCAGTGACAAACATGGATAAATCATGCAGTGGGTGATTGTAACCTGCCCTCATATGTACTCCTTCCTTGGTGTATTGGAGAAAGAAGCTGCATGGTTTTTTGGGGGGCGGGGGTCTGTAATGTTGTAAAGCATTAAAGAGTTGAAGAAAAAAAAACACAGAAACAATTGTAAAGTTTGTCCACCCTCTAGTCTTTGCAGTAATGTATGATGCCCGTTTTGAGCTTGCTGAGAGAGTTGCCTTTGCTTGCGGATGAATGACTTTGCTCCAACATGATTACTGAACATTTACTGGATGTTGCTTTGGAACTAAGAATATAATTAGGATGGGGGCTGGAGCGATAGCATAGCGGTAGGGCGTTTGCCTTGCACACAGCCAACATGGCCAACCCGAGTTCGATTCCTCTGCCCCTCTCGAAGAGCCCGGCAAGCTACCGAGAGTATCTCGCCCGCACGGCAGAGCCTGGCAAGCTACCCGTGATGTATTCGATATGCCAAACATAGTAACAACAAAGTCTCCAATGGAGACGTTACTGGGCCCGCTCGAGCAAATCGATGAACTACGGGAGACAGTGACAGTGACAGTGACAATTAATTTGTATCTGGGTACATCTGAAATTGATAGTTATTCTATTGTATGATTTTATCTGTAATCAGCAATGTGGCAAGGCCTCTGGTACACCAACCACCCTGACCAGGATCATAAAGGGCGTATCTGCAGTACACCTGGGGATCTCATAGTCCAGAGCCCACAGCTGCAGCCTCCTCCCCTGAGAGCCCCCAATACCTTCCTCTCACTTAGAATCTGAAACTCACTGCTGCTGTCTGCTTACCAGCAAAGAACACGTGTGGGCATCTGTCCCAGGCCATGTCCCAGGTTCGTTTTGGGGCTGTATCATTGTGAATGTAAACTTCATAAAGTGCATGCAGTAGTAAACTCCAATGTCCTCAGGCTACAACTTATACTGGACTTGTGCTCCCACTAAAGAGAACCTGATCATTTGTGTAAAATCAGTTGCTGAGAGCTACTTTCATATATTTACACTGACATGCACAGGACTCACTACTCCTGTTGACCACGGAACAGTAACTCAGTTATTGTCCCTGCACTTCTAAGATCCAGGCTCTCTGCCTTGTCAGTTCTGGGTTCTGTCACCCATCTGGTGACTGAAATGATTTCAGATGCTTATGCCAGTGATGCTGTTACAGATTTTTAATAAATGTTTGAAATAAATATTGCAATATATACTATCAGTTCAATTATTAGGAACAAAAATGACTCCCTGTCTAAATAAACTGCTCACATAGTTGAGAAGTAACGACTAACAGAGGACAGGAATTCACGCAGTTATGTATGTCACCAGGAATTAAGCGATAGTTTTTTCATTCTCACATGACATGGATGTAATTTAAAAAAGATTTTCAGGAAGGAGGAGGAAATGACAGGTGAGCACGGGTAAAATGTCAGGAAGCAGAGGGCTCCTGACCCCTGATATAGACTTCTCAGCCCAGCTTAAAGCCTATTCCGAGAACCAACCAGATCAGATCAGAGACCCGTAGATTCTACACCAGTAAGGAGGCCTCTGGGCCATCAGCTAATGGACTCGCTGGCTGTTTTCATAGGATGATGCCTATGCCCATCGCAGTTTCAAAACCAAATGGGAAGATCAAACTATTAGTGCCCAACAAAAATATTTTAATTTTTAGATGTCCTAATGAACCGGGACCTCAGACATGTGAAATGTCTTCCAAGTCATTTGCATTCCTGGGACTAGATTATTTTTAACATAATAAAACTGTGCTCTGTGAAGAGCTGTGCCCACATATGGACTTTGGATACTTGAAATGTATCATGTGAAATTAATAGCTGATTTTAAGTGTAATAAAAATAGTAGTTTAGTCCAATTTAATTCTTTCCACACTATTGGGTCACATAAATCATGAGGTTTTATGCAGTAAAACCCAGCCCTATCTCCAGGACAACAGTGTCCAATAGTTATTCCTGTTCCCTTCAGCCAACTGTGTGTTATACACGTGTCAGTGTGGATACTACATGTGGCAGATCTCTGGGAACTTCCCGGGTTTCTGCTATTGCTGGACACATATTGAGACTCTGTTGAGCCCCGAGGGAAGATGGATATTGGGCCCACAGGCTGCACTAGAACCTAGACATGGAGATTGAACTCCAGGGAGTCACTGTGTTGATTTTATCCCCAAGAACTTGCTGGTACCATTAATGTGCTAGAGCAGGCAGGGCTGTGACTCTGCATGGGCTGAGCCAAGTACTTATCTCAGTGCCCAGGTCACAGGCACCTGCCCGTTCTCAGCTGGAGCCAGAGCCCAGGGTTTGGGGGACTCAGAGCCCATGTTCAGGGAACAGCAACTCCATGGCCCAGGGGCTTCCTGCCCACAGGCCAGGATCAGTTTGGTAAAGGCTCTCTATGGTTGGTCTGTGCTTAGGGAAAGTGGAAAACAAAACGTGGAGTGCAGATCTGGGCATCTGTCTTTTGAAAAGAGGTCGACACAATCCCAACAAGGTCACCCCATATTTTATGTTCCCAATCTAGGGATCAACTCCCTTGACTGAGGGATTTTGATTCTGACATCTTAATGGGAAATAAAACAATTTTAGTGAAGGAACTGTGGTATACTACCCTGGATACCATAGAAGTTGTAAAGGGGTGTAAACTTCATTTCAATTGTGTGGGTGAGGTGGGAATTCAGGTAAGTAATAGACCATTAGAAAAGAAAAATGTCAACACCCTGTACTTAGACAAAAGTCTTATACTGAGGCCTCATGGGAAATACCCTGGATCACATTGTCTGAGCTCCCCTGCAGGGCCAGGCCTTGAAACCCTCAGAGGGAATGTAAATCTAAAGAAATCATTTTTACCTTAGGATATCATGTCATGGGAGAATGCACCCTGTGAGATGCCTTCAGTGAGAGGCTATGAAGCTGCTAACATGTCCTCAAAACGAGGTGGCAATATGTGTGATTATTTTAAAAAATGTCCTTTAAAGCATGGTTTCTAAATATCTTTATCCCTGAACAGATACACAGGAAAATAAGTGCTGGCAAACTTCATTAGAAGAAACTGTCCACCTGTCTTCAAAGGCATTCTTATGAGCAATGTCTGAGAGTTTTTTTGCCTCTAAATCCTTACCAACTTTTCGTAATTTGGTGTTTTTTCTAATTTTATCTTTTCTAGTAGATGTGTCCTGGGAGTTCCTTGTGGTCTTAATGTGTGTTTATTTAATAAAAGTGATATTGAAAAAAAATAAAGCATGCTTTCTAGACCTTCTAGAGTGCCCAGGACAGCACATATGAACTCTGAGACTGTCACCTACTTCACGATCACGATCACGACCACCCTGTTGTTCGTCGATTGCCTCGAGCAGGTGCCAGTAACGTCTTCTTCGTCCTAGCCCTGAGATTTTTTTTTTTAAGTGCCATATTCAAGGCTTTTTCAGGGTTAGGAGAATGAGACCCATCATTGTTACTGGTATTTGGCATATTGGGTATACCACGGGGAGTTTGCCAGACTCTGCCGTGTGGGCATGTTACATTTGGTAGCCTGCCAGTTTGACCGAATTAGGAATGAGATGATAAGATGTCGCGCGGAGCTGAGTGTGATGATCTCTGGATCCTGGCCGTTGTTGGAGTTACACGGCAGTTGGTGGGTGTAACTGTCTAGTTACTGGCAGGTCCAGTCCCAAACTGTACAGGCTTGGAGATCTCAGCCCCGGGTCCCACACACCTGGGTTCCTCTGTCAGTTCTTTTATGCGTGAGGCTCATCCAAGTGTGTGGAGAGTGCTCTCAGCAAGGCCTTGGCTGGGCCTCGGTGGTCTTCAGCTGTTGGGCCCTGGTGGAGACAGTCAGGCATAGGGTAGGAGACTCTGTCTTGTTCTCTCCCAGGAGCTGAGTGTGATGATCTCTGGATCCTGGCCGTTGTTGGAGTTACCTGCTTACTTCAGGAAAATAATCTCTGTAAATTTAATCAGCAGATCTGTTGTCATGTCTCTGCTGCTGTGATGAGATTGAGAATAATAGAGTTTAAACATGTTCATTCAACATGCACCAGAACTGTCCAGGTGCGCAATGATGAACAGTGTCATTCAGAATTCATACATGCTGGCATAGGCACTCTAGATGGCCTAGAAACCATGCTTTCAAAGACATTCTGATACACTCTCAGCAGTGGAGGTGCCAGGAGGAGCCTCTGGGGCAGCCCAGCCTCACAGAGCTGATCTCTGGGGGGTTTGTGTTCTGGCCTGTATCACTGTGGGAGGGTAATTATTAGACTGTTGACAGTAATAAGTGGCAGCATCCTCAGGCTCCAGGCTGCTGATGGTGAGAGTGAAATCTGTCCCAGATTCACTGCCGCTGAACCGGGATGGGACACCTGACTCTAAATTGGTCGCATAATAGATCAGGTGCCTGGGAGCTTTCCCTGGTTTCTGCTGATACCAGTGTAAACTATTGCCAATGCTCTGACTGGCCTTGCAGGTGATGGTGACTTTCTCTCCCAGAGGTGCAGACACAGGTGGACTCTGTGTCATCTGGATATCACACTGAGAACCTGGGGTTGAAAATAAAAACACACGTCATCACCACCATTCATTATACTATAAATTATTTTCCCTGAAGCACGGGTAGCATTAGATCCAGTAAACCCTCGTTTCCCTCCTTACCTGGGAGCCAGAGCAGCAGGAAGCTGAGGAGCTGCACAGGGGCCCTCATGTCCACTCTGGGTGTCACAGACACTGACTCCACTGACTCTGCAGGGTGACACAGACTAATATTGAGTGTCCAGGCATGATCTCTGGGGACTTGCAAATGAGTGGAGGCTGGGCAGGCTGGTAGGTGGGGGAGGGGGTAAGGGTGTGTGGGGACCAGCCCAGCTGCACGGAAGTTAGGGGTGTGGGTCCCTGTGGGTAATCAGAATTTTGTCAACAGGGAACATGCTCCTCCCTTGGTCCCACGAGGACCCCAGTGTGAGCATAAAGGGTGGGTCCATGGTTCTCTGTGTTAGCACAGCTTCTTTCTCTGCCTCAGATACAGGCTCTGTCAGACCACATTATAGACTTCCTCAGGAATTGTACACATTCCTTTCATTTCTCATCTGTGGATATAATTGAGGCAAGGGAAATTATCTCTTTGCTTTAGAATTGCATTATGCTTTACTGCACTTTCTAAAGGATTAAAATTTTATGTTTTCTTATTTGATGAGCAGGGGTGGGGGGGGGGGCCCTGTCAGTGCTCAGAGAACCTGATGGTCACTCTAAACATCACGTAGCTAGAGGGATGAGCTGTTCAATGCTGGGTACCAAGGACGCAAGGCTAGTGTGATGCTGCAGTGCTGGACCTGTCAGCCTTTCTCTGCAAGTGCTCTGGCTCAGGATGGTCCTGTGCTCACATGTGAACCCCAGCTCATGCCTCCTGATGGGTCAGGCTCCCTCACCAAGCACTATATTAGTTTATGAGGGAAATTGTTATTATTAGCAGACAGGAATTCAATGAGTGAAAAGGATTGTACAAATATTTGAGATCTTGAGTCATAAATGAGATCTAAGATAAAGAATATCTGATAGTCCAACCCTTTCTCCTACTCATCACTCCATCCTATACCTGAAAAACTATCCTTTACTTCCACATCAAGACAATAAAAATTTTCCTTCCTCATCTTGAAAAACTTATTTCCCATTTCTTGCCTCAGAACTGAAAATTCCTTGACCTCCATGAACTGTCTTCCCATCATTTATCCTCTTATGGTGAGCTGGCCACTTGAGACTGTGTTTTTATGCGGTGGCTGTGAGGGTCCTACTTGACCGACACCTTATTGAATATCTTCTGTCTCATCACATGTCTGTCCCTTGGTTGAAATCCTGCTGTTGTTCCAAAGACATAGGAGCTCTCAGACAGCAAATGAAAGTCTTAGTGTCTTGAGAAGATTGAGAAACAGTGAATGACACCTATTCATAGCACATGAGATTCACAAACACTAAAAAAAAACTGTATGAGATACTGGGTGCCAACTGGGTGAGGCAGTCAGCATGGGGTGAGGATAGAACTCACACAAGACGTGTCACTCAGGGCTGGGGCAGAGATCCATGCCGGGGAAGTCAGCATCCAGGTTCCTAAGTATGCCCTCCCACCACCCCATCAACATCACTGTTCTTTCATTCTGGAGATGCCCCTGGAACTGCAAATGCAGCTCTCCCTGCACAGTTCTATGGTCTCCACAACACTGAATTCAGTACCTGACAGACCAAACCAGACCCCCATGTACCACTAGCCCAGCAGGACATATATATGCCAAAGTACTGAGTTTCCTGGGGAGGGTCTGGAATGTTTCCAAGGAAGCAGCTGGTCCCAGGGGAGGCCTGCAGTGATCATAGTCTAGAGGAGATGGTTATCTCTACAGTTATCAACCTGTGACTGGGACTTCCCTGAGCTCCTCTGTCAAACAGAAGCAGCTCTTGGGGCTCCCTTTCTGCAGGGCCCAGGACAGGACCCTCCAGGACCATTTGATGGCTCACACCTGACTTGAGCAGAAGAGATCTCCCCACCCTGGAGCCATTGCTCTTCATGCAGTAGGATTCTGCTCCCAATCAGCCTTATCTGCCCTCCTTAGGAAGCTTCAAACCAATCCCTACTTACTGCTCCCTGCACCATATTTACCAAAAGCTGAGGTGAATAATGGACTGGATGTAAGAGAAACCTGAACCCCAGCTCTGCAGGCAGCACAGCAGACTGAATGAACTGATTTCCAGGTATTAATGTAAGAGTTGGCCTGTTTACATGTAAACTAGGATGTCAATGAGAATGCTGTGTGGCCCTTTTGCAGCCTCTCTGGATGTTTCCCATTGCACCGTAGTGTGGAACACAAAAATCCGGGGTCTTAGTTCAGAACAGAAATTCAGAGAATCCACACACACTTCAGGCTCCATCAGCGAAGCAGAGAAATGTGGTGGGGCTGGGTGTGGAGAAGAGGGGAAGGGAATCAGAGGAGAAGAGAGACTCATATTTCAGACATGTTCCCCTGTTATGCACTATCAGAGACCCCAAGTCCACAGAGGCCCCAGAACAGCAGCTGCTTGGGAGGGGGTAGTGCTCCAAGTGGGTTATCTGTCACCAGGGGCAAGTTCCTGGTGACGGAGAGAGAGTCTTGTGTCTGCAGTCACTGTTCCATCCCTGGTAGAGCACCAGGAGAGGCTATAAGCAAACTCTAGTCAGGGAAAAAGTTATAATTTCTTCTGATTATTTGATTTGTGTGTCTGGGTGTGGTGCAGTAGCTGCTCCTCAATGTTTCATGTGCGTCTTGCCCTACAAATAAATTCTTGGACAAATGAACCAACCACTTCAGTATAAGAATTGATGATTTGCAGCTTTTGTTGGTTTATGGTGTTGGAGAGCACCAGGGCACGCCCTCATGACGGTGCCTACTAAAATCAGCCATGTGGTACTCGGAGACTCCTATGAATGCCCCATACATACTCTAGAAATTTGTGGTGCCAGGATTCACCGCAGTGAATTGAGGCATAACCGCAAGCCTTGTACTTTCTCTCCTCACTGGCTTGTTCTTATCTCAGGATGAGATGCTCCTCACACTCTGTGTGGCCCTGAATGTGACAGGGACTCTCTCCTGGACGAAAAAGGGAGGTTGGACAGGGCCACACAGTGTTTGCACTGACACCTACTGGACAGGCAAACCGATCATCCCTACATTAATACCTGGAAATTATTTCATTCAGATGCATTCCCCTTACACTTTATGTAAACACTGTAGTTTACCAAATTGTTCATAATGATTTCTCATAGATGTTCAGCATTCCAACACCATTTCCACCAGCACTGCACCATCCCACCACCATTATTTCCAATTTTTTAAGCATCTTTTCAGCCTGACCCCATAGAATGCACAAAATAATTCACTTTATATTGCTTGTGGTAAATAACTTGCTGAAAGAATGACCAAAAATGTTTCCTTAGAGGAACTTTATTGAAGAGTTCTGTGTCTCACCATGCAGTCATTAAGCCCTTGTACAAGAGATTACTATGATGTTGTGACAGTATAGCCTTTGCTTTTACATTTTGTTAATTGAGATTGGTTGTTTTCTACATTACATCACATCCAATCTGGTGTGCTACTCCTCATTTATCCGCATTGTAGAGTTTTAAATGTTGCTCCTAGAATCAAAAATGTGTTATGGAATGATACTGATACACTTAAATATTTAACTAGGTAGCTGCTTTGGGTCATGTTTATGACTACTGGGGATTCCCAAACTATAGGGAAGTGGGGGCAGGTATTCCATCCCAACCCTATGACAGCCTGGAGATTTCAGTCAGAAAACCTTCAAACCTGAGTTTTTCAAATTTTTGAGGCTTATTGATGAGCAACTGACTCTGGCTGGGTGCATGGCAGTGATTGTGAAATGTGAAGGTTTTTTGACTGCTTGGGGTTCACCGAGCCCCCTCCAGGCTGCCCCTTATTACACAGGACTATGGGGGCTCTGGAAGAATCTCTGCAACTTATCGATCTCTTTCAAGAATTTATTCATGACCTCTGCCTTCTCTCCCTTTGCGGCTCGGTGGTTGCCATCCTCCAGAGGCCATTGTACAGTAAGGTTTGGACTCACAGTGATGAGACACGCCAGGCCTCACAGGATGGGGGTGGATTCAGCCCTTTCCTCCCTGCCCAGAGAGACCCTGAGTCGCTGCCCACAAATGGCCTCTCTGACTCCTGATCAAGCTACTTAATGTCTATGAACCCAGAGACTTAGAAACAAATCTCGCAACTCAGCAGGTTTTGGCTGAAATCCCTCCAGATTCAGTTGTTAGAATTTTGGAATTCCAAAATCGCATGACCACTACTGTGGCCACAAGACATAGTATGTTATTTATGGTAAACAATAGAAAACAAATTATCTTCTGTTGCCTTTTCAGCAGGTCTGTGTGTTGGGGTAAATTCCCAGAAAATAATGGTGTGTCTGTCATCAAAATATCGAATGAAGTCAAAGTAGAGAGAGAGTAATGTAGAGTCATCTGCCCCACAGGTAGGGGGAAGGTGTAGGATTGTGGGGATACTAGGGTTTTGGGTGGTGGAAAATGGACACTGGTGAAGGGATGGGTGTTTCATCATTGTATGACTAAGACTTAAACGCAAAAGCTTTGTGGCTGCTCTCACAGTGATTCAATAAAAAAATTTATAGAAAAGGAAAAAAAAGTGATGTGTAGTTCATGCCCTGTTCAATCAACATAATCAATGGCTGAATAAATAGCAATATTCCTACACTAAAAAAAGAAAAGGGAAAAAAACATTTTATTCATGAGTCTCTAGATCATGGCTGGTGAATCCAGATGAATTTTCTAATAGGAAAACAAAACATTCAACAGCTTTATGTTTAGGGACATGTTGGTCGTTTAACCAGAAACCACGAATGAATACTAAGGCTCTTTTTCTCAGCAATCAGAAAAGCAAGTGGTGAAGATGAAGAAAATAGCAAAACCCCTGTCCCCCCTCATCTCTTCTTCCCCCACTACCCTGATCTGCCCTGAGGCAGACCCTGCTCCAAGGTGCTGTGGTGAAGCATGAGCTCAGGCTCCCTCACAGGAATATACAGGCTGTGGGCTCACACCCCCACACAGGGGATTCTCACATTCTGGGAGGCTGGAGAGTGAAGTCCAAGGTCCAATAAGGTCACTTCCGGTGACAACATCCTTCTGTCAGCAGGAGC